TCTAGTAATATTATAAAATTTATGTGATAAAAGCTTTTTATTTTTGTGAAAAGCTTTCCTCATATTCAAAGGCGTTATGGGAGGAAAAACTTTTCATTATTGTGCTTTGCTAGATTTGAATCAAGCCTCAGAATTTTCTCCTCATATCTTTTTTTTGAGATATCGTGTCCTGAAATTTGAAAAATGACATGTTTGGCCATTTATAAGGCGTTATAATCAAATGTACTGTTTTATCATTCTGTTTCTATTAATTTTTCAAACCAACCTCTCTCACACTTTAAAACACGGACACATACACAACAGGCCCACTGCCAATGAGATAAATTTCTTTAACACACAACACATGTGTGGTAAAATTTATGGTACCTTCTTAAAATTTTAAATGGTCATTCTTGGTAACGAACTCCATTTATGTTGTCATTCTTTTTTTTAAATTTTCCGCTTTTCTTTCTTAATTAAAATTAACAACTTCCCCCAAAGAATTTCCTCGACGTGATAAAAAACATTTGTAATTTATATTAAAAACAAGTCAATGTAAAAGATGACAAGAAACAAGTGTTGTATTGTATGAAATGTACTTGCTTGGTTAATTGGACGTTTTAGTTTACAGCTTTTGCTTTCTTAAATATTATTTAACAAAAAAAATCAAAAGCTCTAACATTGAATTTAATGTTTATGTTGCAACAAACATTAATTTTTTAGACAAGGTCAACATACATACTTATGTACATATTCACCTATACTGTAAAACACATGTACATAAACTCATACACATTTACTTATTCGCATACATAAATACATGCACACACACACATAACCAACACTTATGGTAGATTTCAACAACTGTCGATGATTTGTTGTCTCCTGCAATTTCAAAGAGGGTTTGTTCCGTTTATTTCCATGCTTTTAATTGCACTGAGAGAAATACTCTTAAGTAGGAATAAAAAAGCTTACAAAAGTGCAAGAAGAAACAAACAACTACTTAAAAGTCTAACAGCAACATTTAACCAATTACTCATTTAGTGAGATACATACCCAGCAAAAACTTAGTAATAACTTAATAACTTTCAATTGTAACCACTTACTTATTAACATACTTTTCAATGGCTACTACATATCTTCTTGATTACATAGAAGTGGACTAATAATGTCTTATTAATAATGTGCTATATAAATATTTTATAATTCATTAGTAATCTTCTCCGTGAAGTTGTAGAAGCAGTATATGTCTTTTTCATAGTGTTTACTTTTACTAATGACTTCAAATGCTATTGTGTAAGTAAATTTTGGAACTTGGTAATGAAATTTTCTGCTGGGTATTTTAATTTGCATTTTAGTTTTTTTTGTATTATTTTTTATCTCAGGTTTATTAAAATAAAATTATGTTATAAAAATTCAAAGACTTTCATCTTAAAACGATTTTTTGCAACGTTTCTATTTTGTTATTTTTATTTTATTAGTTTTTTATTACAGCTATTCAAAGTCATAAATTTCTTTTGATCGACTTTATAGGAGCAGTTTTTAAGTAGTTTTTTACATGCTGTTTAGTTTATGTAAAATTTAATGTCAATAGATTTAAATAATTATTGATTAGTCTTAAAACATGTTTAATTATAAGGACATTTTTTGAAAATTTATTTTGATTGAAACATTGGTGATCAATATATACATACATACGTATGAGCAATAAATTGTATTTCATATTACTTAAACGTGGAGGTGGTCTTTTTAATAATAATATGTTTTTAATTTTTCACAATTTTTTGAGTTGAATAGCATACTCAAACGGGATAACGTTCCGAATAAAATAATTCTATAAAATCTAAACAATTTGTCCAATTTAGAGATAAATTCTTCTGAGAAGAGAGGATTACGCGATTGTAAGTTTATGCTTTGAAATTTTATCTCATAAACTTACATGGAACGTAATCAAAAGTGTCTAAAGAATGCGAGAAATTAAAAATTGATAGAATTTTGTTTAAATTTTTATCTAATTTGATATATTAAGGGTTTTCATTTAAACGCTTAAGTTTCCCATTTGTGCAAGTGGGCAAGTTTATTCGACTTGTTTCATGAAACCCCTGTTCAAATTCTGTTCAATTACAATATTTATAAACATTTTACAGCAATGTCAAACGAAATCAAAAAATAAATTATTTTAACAAAAAATTGTACAAAGTTTGCTCAAGTTTACCAGTCTAAATAGTCGATCAAACTTATAAGGGTTGTGCAAATAAATTTTCATACAATTCAATTGCGAGAATGGAAACATGCACAGGTTGCACAGTTTACGAGGGTTTTGAACGTTTAAATGAAAACCCTTATTATAAATTTCATACCAAGAAAAAATAAAGAGTTATTTCTGAATATTTCCATTTGAAGTTCAGTATTCTTAAAAAGCACACTTTCAGGTTTTTAAAACACTTTTTATATGCCTTCTCAGGAAGTTTATATTTATATGTAAAAGTGCCACTAAAGCAAGCCAATTTCTCCAAGAAGCTTATAATGAATGTGCTCCATCGGTTTCAACGTGCGAGATATGGTTTGTACGGTAATTTTGTTAATTAAAGCCAAGCGACCTGAAAAAATGGTTTTGCATGTCCGAAATGCTAGATTGGAAATGGATCTACTATATTATAAAAACCAGAAGCGTAAGAGATCGTATCTGAAGGCTGTCGAAAGTTAAATATTCATAGCGCTAAGGTAATCCCCCTAAAGGGATCTGCCTGAATGCAACTGATACGTTTGAAGCGCTCTTTGACCGAAAAATTATCCTACATAAAACAGTAATATTACACCATAACATCGCTCGGCTACAAGACGCAATACTTGTTAAAAACATGATTTGTTCTTGGCCTCAAAAGATGATGATCAGTTTTTATGGTACGTCTTGTGGATTTATGGTCAAGATATTTACACGTTTTAGAACAATTTAAGAATTTTGGTAACGATTTTTTAGCGCATATTTTATCCATTAGAGCGTAATTGGGCATAATTTGATTTTAACAGCACATTTAAGGAGTTTTTAGTGCATATTTTACGGTTTTAGCGCATATTTTGATATATTATACTTTTTAATTTAAAAAAAATTAATTTTGAAATGAATAGTATATTTGAAAATAAGGAGTGATAGAAAATACTAATTTCAAACGATACAACTAATGAGAGTGTTTGTGTGATTCAAGTGAAGTACTATACAGTAAGTGAATCGAGTGAAAAAATAAAATTAAATTAACAGATTTTTTTAATATTACTTCGAATTTTCGAACTTAATTTCGAATAGTCGAGGATAATATAGTAGCGTTATCAACTGTACTTAACACTCCCAAATTTCAGCCAATTTGGTCCAAGGAAACTGGTTTTATAAGCTTGTAATTTTTTTCGAACATGAGTTCGAATTTTCGAATTTTTTTTAGCTTTTTGGACTTAAAGAACAATTTAAGAACATAAACAATTTTTCGAACATAACTTCGGATTTTCGAACTTAATTTCTAATATTCGAACATAATATTGTGTTGTCATTTGTAGATATTTTGGGAATATTTCTTGAGTCATATAAAAAATTCAGTTTTCGCATATATTTTATACTGTCATGTATACGTATGAGTAATAATTTGCAATTAATAATACTACTACGTGCAGGTGATCAATTAATATGGTTAGAGAGGGAGTTTTAGTGTATTTTACTTTAAAATTTAATCCTTAAACACCTACAGTCCTACATAACCGTTTAGTTTTTATTTCATATAAGTTTTAAAATCCTTATTTTATATTTAAAAATCTCCCAATATTAAAAACCTTGTTGCTAATACTTACACACCTGCATCCATTTCATACAATTTATAAAAAGCTTAAAAATTTTATTTTTATATGATAAAAGCCAAATATAAAAATCCAACATTATGCTTTATACGAAATAAAATGCAACAACTATAAAATCTTAGTGTTGACAATTATTTTTTATTTTAAAATTATACCGGTATGAATAATTTGTCCCCGATAATGCCAGTAATTTTGTTATCAACATTTCATGCCTGTTTTTTTTCTGCTTTTGCGTTGTTTTGTTGTTTTAATTTTACCTCAGTGTATTCTATTGGAATTAAAATCCCAAAACAGAGTTAAATGCCGCAAAGCCGAAAATGCACGTGGTTATTTGACCAAGTTGTGCATGCATACACACATATACATGCATACAAATATACAACAAAACTAACAAAAAAATAACTTGAACATTTACAAAGAGATAGCACAACTATATTAATATGCACAAATAGGTATGTACATACATGCATTCATAAACCAACAGCAGCAAAACAACAACAACAATAACAAAAATGCATGCCAGCACCCTCAACAACAAGAACATTGCAACAACAAGACTGTTGAAATACTCATACAGACACATGACAACATATTTCTACTGCAAGGATAATAAAGAATTGAACAGAGCAACTCACAAACAAACACAACAATTATAACAACAGCAGAACGAAACAAACGTCATTTTATGCTAACGGTTCATCTCTATGTTCTGTTTTTTTACTCTCTTTAAACTATTATATATTACGTTGAAGAGTACAACAACGTAGACGAGTGCAGCAAAGATAACAACGACTGCAAAACTACTACTACTACTACTCGTGACTACATAGACATCTCTTCTAAACGAAGCTGCATTTGTACAAACGAATGTATAGAGGAGAGCAATAGAATACGATAAGAAAAGAATTTTGCAGTGTCGCGTTCGTTAACATGTGAGTCGTTGGCAGAGCTGCTAACGATTACAGATTTCTATGATGTTCGGTTGTGTAATGATGGGGTTTCATGCGCAGCAGCATAAGCAGAAGACAGAATAACTGTTACCAACAAACAAACCAACCAACCATCTTTGTACGAACTACGAAACACTACAGAAATAATAATGATGATAATAACGATGATGATAAAAAGTATAATGATGATTGTACTGATGATGATGATGTTGATACCCACTTAAACGTATAAAAGGCCTGTGATGCGTTCTAAAGAACATCACTTTTATTTCGAACGCGCCAAACACAACACTGGTCAGCCAACTAACGGAATTTTTGTTCTTACTCTCTCTTGAAAACTAAAAAAATCACAAAAAGTGAAAATAAAAAGAAAATTTACGTGCAATTTTCGTAAATATAAAGAAAGTAACTGAAAACAAAATCAAACGTGTTTTTCAAAAATAATTGATTGTGTGTGTGTGTGTTAAACTAAATAAATAGTTGGTGAGTGTTTTGAGTTTTTTTTTTTTTTTTTTGCTAAAACAATTAAAAAGAAATTTTGTTATAGAAAATTTTGAAATATTTTATTGTTCATACAACACTTTTAAAATTATCGAAAAATTTCCAAAACATTTCTATACAATAGAACGTGTTTAATAAACGTTTTTTTCTTTCTCATTTATTGTTTTTTTTTTTTTTTTTTTTATTTCTAACAAATTGAAAAACAACACTAAAAATAAAATAAAAATAATAATACCACCACATGTGTATGTATGTAGTATGAGCATTAATATCCTGTGGGTATTTTCAACTGTTTTCGTTTATTTGCTCTACTGCTAAAGTGAAAATTAAAATTAAAAAATAAATAAATAAAATGCTGAATTGTTAGTTTAAAATGCTACGGGAAAAAATTCAATTAAAATTTGTGTATTGTTGAAAAGAATTTTTAAAAATGGACAACGAGTATATTTTAGTTATGGGAATCGAAATTTTAAAATTTTATATACATTTTGAGTTTAAATAAAAGAGTGAAGAAAGATTTAAAGTAAACAATTACTTTACGCAAAGTCTTTAAAGCCTCCGGTAGGTTTATAGTTAGTATTCTAGTCTGTCAGATCGGAGGTCATGGCTTCGATTTCTAACAGAGAAACTGCTAAAGGAGTATTTTTTTTTTTTGGATTTGATGTCAAGTCTTTATATCTACTTCATCTAGAAATAATTTTTAATTTTTAGTAAAATTATTTCGAAGTATTGTGGCTGAAATTCTTTTACAAAATAATCGATTGGTTATAGAAAGATCCAAATTTATTTTAAGAAATGAAAACGGTTCAAGTAGGAATATTAAAAGAGAAAAAAGCATAGATATTATTCTTTGAAGAACATAGTAAATGCATATCCTTCCTCTTCCAATAAAGACTTTTTGGTATGGAATTCACATTCATAAACCTTCATTCCTTCTTTCTGTTCTGTGCTGTAAATTTATGTTAGATTTTGTACATATTTTAGCGATTTAAAAAAAATTGGGTATGAAATCTGCTAAAATTGTTTAAATTTATTATGCAAAAAGACTTTAATAAACTTTTAAATTCGTAAAAATTTTATTCATACTATTTACTACAAAATTCATTCCAGTTATGAATAATTTTTTTGTGTACTTTGAAATACTTCTTAATTTTACCCACTTCAGTGGGGAGGGTATATTGGGTTTGTGCTGATGTTTGTAACGCACAATAATATTGGTCCTATACCTTAAAGTATACCAATCGAATAATTTTAGAATAATTTTCTGAGTCGATTTAGCTATGTCCCTATGTCCGTCCATCCGTCCATGTAAACCTTGCAATCAGACTACAGGTCGCAATTTTTAAGATAATTCAATGAAATTTAGCACATAATCTTCTATGGTACCGGAGACGAAGCCCATTGAAAATGGTTAACATCGGTCCATTATTTCAGTTAGCCCTCATACAACTGATCCCTAATTATAGGGCTTTTAAGTTCATAATTATTTTTAATATACTCGTATCTCGACAAAAAGCTGCAAAGCCAAGATCTATACAAGGCTCGATGACCCTCATGAATTTTATAATTATATGGTCTCATTTGAGCATAACACCTATACAAAGCCCCCTTTAAAATTTGACTTAAATGTCCACAATTTTATTCAACAATAAATGGCTTAAGTATATCTGAGGCAAGGTACAATTCAACTTAAATGCTTCATTATGAAAACTAAATCACATTTTATTTTTGTAACAGCTGTAGGGTATTATATGGTCGGTCTCGCCCGACTATAATTCCTTACTTGTTTTATATATGGGCAATTTTCTGTCAAGTGACCCAACTCAATAAATCGATTTTACTGAAATTTGCACCGAGGTTAGTACTATTGGATAATAGGCCAGGCACAAATTTTCAGCTCTATCGTTGAAGAACTGCCGGACTTAGAGGGGGTCAAAGTAGGACATTTTGGTCATACAGGGTTTTATTCAAATGAGTGTAACTTTTCCCCTATTGTTGGTCCTAGCAAAAATTGTCCAAAGGAGTTTAGATAGCTATTTCTAAACTATTTCCAATTTTTTTTTAATTAAATTTTTTTTTTCAAAATGTTTTTTTTTTTGCTCAGATGAATGCTTATACAATTTCCTTTGTAGATATCCCATTCGCATATCACTAAGTGACCACAAATCACTTAAAGGAAATGGTCTAAGCTTTCTTGAAAAAACAGGGGAAAATGAATTGTCAAATATTGAAAAATCTTCAATAGATTTAGTCAATAAACTTTTCAATACAAAAAGACTAATCCATAGACTAGACAGCAATCTATTCAATAGACTAATACATGTACCACTCCATGAGCTAATCATTAGACTAGCCAACAACTAATTCATAAACAAATCCTTAGCGTAGTTAACCTAATAGCCCATATTATAGACAATACACTAATCCCTAGACTAGAAATGTCCTTTGGCTACTCCAATGGACTGTTCACTAATGCATAGATTAACCCATAAACTGGCCAATAGATTTGCACTAGTCCTAAGACAAGTCAATAGATTAAAAACATGTTAAAAGAAATTTGTTAATTTTTTTTATTCCTAAAAAGTACATTTTTGTAAACAGTTAGTACTTTTTCAAAATCAATAAATTTTTCGAAATTTTGCAGTTTTCTCAAATTATCAAAATATAAACAAGTTTTATCTCCAGAGATCTCCAAAGAGAGTAAAACATATCAAAAAAATAACTAGGTATATCATATGACAAAAATTGCTAGTTTCAAGAAACAAACCTTGACTTTCCAATCTTATAGTTTCGTAGAAATAGTCTAAATTATGTATAATGTCTTATATTAACTGTAACATACGTACTACTTCCGTAACTAATCGCAAATTAACTTTATGCTGTTAATTTTTTTTATGCAATTTTTTTAACTTAAGATCTATTTACTAATAATAAAATTTTTTTTATAAATTATCTTTTCACTTAAGTTATACGTTTATGCCTATACTTACTAAATTAAGTGTTAAACATAATATTCTCTAATGAAAACATCAACGTTAGATTTTTTATCCCAACTTCTCTTGTCTGTTTTTAAGTATCACTGTTAGAACTTAAATTATGCGTAAGTTTTTTTATTTCTATCTTTTTTACAGCTCTAAAAAATATAAGAATTACCATATTTAAAAATTCCACCATTAGTATAGTTTTCAGTCGAGAGGAGAACAAAAAAAAATTGTTTTTATACAAATGTCACTACAAAAAACAAAAACAAAAAAACGTATTTTTAAGGCTCTTTCAAGTGTAATGAATTGTAGTGATTTATCATGGTAGAGTTTTAACACATAAAACAGCAAACAAAAAAATATGTAAAAAAACCTAAAGCATGAAAAATTCAACAGTTAAAATTTATACAAATAAGAGCATTTTATTCGGCTAAGACGAATACATATGTGTCCTATCAGAGTAGTTTTCATAAAATTGTGATTAATTTCATAGAATAAAGCGTTTTTTATCTTAAGCATATTTTCGAATGAGACATGGAAGGACGGACATGTCTAGTCTTAGAATCTTAAGGTTCTGTTACAAACAGAATGACAAATTAAGTATACTCCTTATATATTTTGCTGGTGGATATAAAAAAAGAACTGGTAGCAAAAAAATAAAACATAGAAATATGCACAAGTACAAATGTTTTGTATTTAACTTTTTAAATGCCCTACCACAGATACTACGTATCACCACGTTTACACATGTTAGATTTTTTCCATACATTTTCTTTTCACTTATTGCCCTTGTTATTAAGTATTTTTTGCTTAAGCCGTTTCTAATCAATCTTGTTTTTGTCATTTTTGAATAAACCTAATTATAGTTTTGTTTTTTCCAACCTCTTTTAAAATCTAACGTTCATACAGTTTGTTCTTGAATATATACATGAACAAAATTGAGTCACTGATTTCTTTGATCATCTTAAATAGATGCAAATTTTCTTTAATTGAATATAAAAGTTGATTTTCTTGTGTTTTTTTTTTGTCTTGTGTAAGGTTGCTTAAAAGTGCAATTTCAATAATAGATTTTTTGCATGAACAAGCAAATGAATCTAAAAATGTGGGGAAGAACGACTAATATTGTGATTTTATAATTTTTTAGGGGCATTATTGAGTTTACAAAAAAATTAATAATATTCCTATAATTTAATTAGAAAATCTTTTATTTAAAATTTTAGTAACTTGAACTGAAGTTTAAGTAAATTATTTGAAATAATTGTCCAATTTACAATTCGCGTTGTATGGTGAAAATTTTTTATTATACAATATTAAAAAAAGAATACGTCATACGACGCCGATTATGAATTGGACAAATATTTTGTATTATATCGCTCATCTACTACAAGACTGGCATAATCCAAATAAGTTGTTTTGAGAAAATTTCTGTGAATTTTTAATGACATTTTACCATTTTTTTTAATAACTAATTCTAATCTTAGGTAAAGTAACAGAATTAATTTCTATTATCTCTCTTTTATCTTATTGTACAATATTTAACATTATTATAAGCTCAAAAGCCCCATTCGGGGTTCTTGTCAAAAAGTGTATGTGCCAAATTTCATCAAATTATCTTGAAAATTGCGACCTGTATCGTGCGCACAAGGTTTACATGGACACACAGACAGAAAGACAGACGGACGGACGAACGGACGGATGGACGGACAGGCAGACATACGGACAGACAGATAGACGGACAGACGGACGGACATAGCTTAATCGACTCAGAAAGTGATTCTGAGCCGATTGGTATACTTTAAGATGGGTTTAGGACCAATATTTTTGGATGTTACAAACATCAGCACAAACGCATACTATAGTGATGTAGATTATAAAAACACTTCTTCTCTAGCCTTATGAAATTCTATACCAATCGAATTAATGGTTTAAAAATTACAGATTGTTTTTTATTTCATTTATTTAGAATAAATTGTGCACATTACAAAACACTTATTTTCTATT